TCACTTAATAAGAATCTTTACGAATAAATATTTCCCAATTAAAATTAGTGATAATTTTACCTTCAATTCAAATTCCGCCGTACTGCATTAGTTAAACGGTTTCCGTTTTCCTAGTAAATACAATATGTAGTCTGTATCTTTAATATTTATTTTATTTTTATTTATTTTTCATTTATCTGTTGAGTATTTATTCTGATATTTAATTATCTATCCGTTATGTATTTATTCTGATATTTAATTATTTATATGTTAAGTATTTATATGTTATATATTTTATCAAATTATTGAAATAATTATTCATTTAATTGCATCAAAATATTATTTTTTCTGGACTAAAACAAATATAATGTTCTTGTCAAAAATAATGTTGAAGTGCATTGTATTAGTATTATAAATTACAAGAATCAAAAATCATTATTATTAATTTTTCCGTATAAATTTGATTGTTCATTAGATAATACATAAGGCCGTTCCAAATTAATTGTTCTAAATAAATATATAATGATATATAAGTTTAAATATCTCCCTAATTATAAATTTTCCAAAAATTTATTATACTTACAGACTTAGTAAACCCCTCCCCTTTTTTAATAAAACACGTCGGTAATTATGTCAATTTAGGATCTGATCTGGATCGGCAATATTAGTAGGGATTCTGAGCTTCGAGATTTGGACGGATCCTGTAATGTTGGAAGACACCGAATTGCCTATATTTCCGATCCGGATCCTCATAAAATCCAATCCGGTGTTCACATTAGATTTTTGATTTTCGTATCACATCTGATATCCAAAGAAGTTCTATAATTATTTCATTAAATTTTTTTGGACCAAACTGACTCATCCTACGAAGAAACAACTGATGATGTTGTTAATTTATCACTTTTCATAAATGTATAAGCATTATTGAAAGGAGTAATCTTTTAAGAACAGTTTGCAGGTACTTCCCATAAGATCAAAATTATTTAATCTAGGAAAGTTCTTATCATTAGAGTTACGCAATAGATTTTTTACTAATATAGTCAATGATAAAAAGTTTAAAGTATTTGTCTCCTATTTCTTTCTTACATTCTTTTTTAAATGTAAATATCACAATAATGAATATCTGGTTCAAATATAAAAAAGGCAAGCCAGTGGAAATTTTTTTTTAAGGGAAATAACGTTAATGCACTGAAGAAACAAATTAAGTCCGAACTAAAAAAACTGGCTGAGAGAATGTTGATTGATAAAAAATTTGCAACGAGCTACAATAAACCTATTGTTGTCGAAACTGGTAAGCTTTAAGTTAACATGACGCTCGCGCTCATTACATTATTCAGATGACCTAACTATCTTGCTGTGCTGTTATAACTAATAATGTTGCATTCCTCTACTGTTGAAATAGGAATCACCCACTTGTTCTTAATAAATATTGGCATGTTTATGACTGACATATTTGCTGGTGATATAACAATTTATAGCAGAATTAGCGGTTTATAGCTGATTTATAAGCGGATTCATTTTCATTAGTGGGCGCAATATCACATGATTTATATTGCGGGAGAATTATGAGAGGAGTAACGAGAAAGTAACGAGGATGTGCTAAAGATGCACATGTATGTTTATTAGTTAATGGTAACACATATACACTAGCAAACAAATATATTGGTTAATATGATAGCCCAATTGGTGAACTTTATTTAACAACTCAAAATAAGGATAACACACGTGACATGAAATGTATACTATGCTGTATTCTTTGAAATCTGGCTAACTATATAATCAATTTTATCCCAGCTTAATTTTGCTATGCATGAAATAGAATAAGATCTTACTTATCTGTTATTGTATTTTGTTAGAACTTATACAACAAAAAAAATCATAAAATTTTCACGCCTGCTCTGTTTCTTCCAGAGTATAATTTTCATTACCTTCTTTGGAAACTGATCTCTAATTTCATCATTAACCAGTCTCTTTACCTTGTGCTTTTCCTTAGTTTTTTTGTAGTAATCAGGTGCTTAATAATTCCTTCCCAAGGACAATTTGATTTCATCCATCAAATTAATTTAGGACTGTGCACATTTAAAAGTGGATATTATAATAAATAACAAATGTTAGATTGAAAGTTTGGCTACTAGTAGCAGCTACTTCAGACTTATTATTTTTCAATCTTAGACACATTAAGAACCAAAAAGGTATAATATTTAGGCAAAATTCCTGTAAAAGAAAAGGTTATTTACAAATTAAACTGAAAGTTAACATTGTTTATAAAACTATCGCTATACATATTTCAGTTGTATGAGCATTTATCTTTACCCAGAGAATAAGTCTCATATTAATCATATTAATGGTATCAACCATGATAATCAGGCATTCAGGCTGGTAATTTGGAATGGATAACTCCTAAAAAGAATGCTAAATGTAGAATATTCTTAAATCACAGTTATATTTTATTCAGAAAAACTATACAGAAAATGTTAAATTAAAATGTTATTCAGATTTGAAATTCTATCTGACTGCATTCAAAATTTCAGAATCTTGCAATTTAGAATATTGTAACGGAAAGCAAATACTTTTGGTAACTGGAACTGAATATATTATAAAGATTATATAAAACTCAATTCAGATGAAGAATGAAGAGAAATAGGGCTTGATTCATGAAAATTCAGAGTTTTATCTTTCAGGTAAATGGTAAAATCATTTAAGATTTATTGTATATAGATTATTGAAAAGTTGCTTGAAAAGGATATCTTATTTATCATTTGGTAGCATTAGCATTTTGTTTCCAAAAGAAAAATTGAATATATAAATCATATTGATAGAAATCCTATTAATAATTGAGTACCAATATGCTGTTAAGCAGATTTTTGATAATGAATCTTTCTGGAGATTTCCATTCTTAGCAAAAGCACAACATATCATTGGAATTAAAACTTTAAATTATTTTCAGATCACAGAAATCATGTACCTATATTATGAAAAAGTATGCGATTTTTTATGTAAAGGAAACATAGCACATTTTTTTAATTTTCTGCTTGCTTTTATTTAACAATTTTTATCAAATATATAATAAATATCATAATAAAAGACTTAAAAAAAATGTAAAATATAAAATACCAAAGAAGTATGCATGGCTAACGACTATATATAATAGATCACATAAAAATTGATGAAATATTAATGCAAAAACAAAATCAAACTTATTGTTAAAATTACCTTTTCTAAGCTAGATGAATGTAATATATATGCACTATAATAGGCAATATTTGATAAATATAATACTAAAAAATTGAGAAGAACTTGTTTATTAAAGCAAGTTTTATTTCAAGCTATATATTTTATATTAGATTATAAGACAGAAGTTTAATACAATTTGATAATTTCAGGCAAGGTACATAATTGAAATTAATTTGTAAAATGAGGTATATCTTATATGATGATGAGAAATAAATATAACCCAGATGTTGGTTTCTAGTTTATTAGGCCAACTTATATACAATTACATAAACCATTTGCTAAAGCATATAATTTATTAAATTATTACAGAAAAATTTGAATTGCAAATGGCTTTGCTTATTAGATCTAAATACTTTAACAGGTATTTTATAATCATGATTCTGATCATGAATTCATGTATGAAAAACTTGCTGTGATTCAGCAGAATCTTACTTGGATAGAATTTATTGGAAACATCATATTACTTGATAGTCAAGATCTTTTTCATCAGAATCTGAATTCTGAAGTATCATCAGTCCCTTCTACTTCTCAAAATCCTCCAAATGTTAGACCTACTCATATACCATATTTTGTTTACTGGAATGGTATCAATTTGATTTACTGTAAAATAGATTGGAATGAACATTTTATATTAAGATGTGGATGAACAATGGAACTAAATGATGCACTTGTTATACCACAATTCCATAAATGAAATTATTATGGTATGCATATAATATTTTCTAAATACTGTTGTAGATGAATAGACAGTAAATTATACATTGCAAGTTATACAAAATAAAAATTCTATACATATGCATGCTTGTAAATTCTGCAGAATGAATGATCCCTATTATTATTACAATTAGAAAAATTATTAATTAAATGTCAATATTTAAATGGATTGTTATATTCTTCATACGAATAGTTCAAAGTATTAGCAAAATCATCACAAAATAATTTGTACAAATTTATTATTATACCACAATTAACCTAGAATCCCTAAGAATATTTTTAAAGAACCATTTTATAATAGTTTTAACTACAATAAATTTATTTTAGAAATAGGAAAATCTATGTTCGGTTGACATGTGATTACGCAAATCCGCCGACCTGGAGTTCACATTCTAGAGCCTCGCCTCCCAAGTGACCGCCGGTGTCATTTTACGCAAATTGATAATTACGATTTGATTGGTTAACGTCACGTGAGCAGAGATCGCGCTTTTGTTGGTAAGATTCGCGTTTTAGTTTTCTAACTTCCCGAAATGTCAAATTCTACGAGCGCTAACAAAATCCCAGATGATACCTGGTCATATAGCGTTGAGACTAATATAGAGAATTCGGAGATTCATTCATATTTTAGTACCGTACAGGCAAGGTTTTGGGCTTTCGAGAACGCCAAGCCCCCACATGCGTAGAACAATTTTGCGAGTCTCTACGTGCGATAAATAAAATCAAGAGGTACCTTAGTGTTAGAGCATATGTGAAAAAATTATGAATGTAAGTACCAATATTGTATCTATTCATTCATTGTAGGATGCTTATGAAAATATGAATTAGGAAATGGAATTCATTGAATAGACATATCTAGCACTAATAAGGGAACGGCAGGACAAAGAAGGTTCGTGGATGTAACCATTTACTGGTACTAATTAAATGGAATACTTACACGCATAGTTTGAAATCCAAAATAGAACTTGTTACATGCACAAACGAGTACGTAAGAAGGTTTATGCTAAGGCCACGAACGTTGTTGGTTCCAAAAGAGAAAAACCGACAATGCGAACGATGAACTATCAAAGGATGTAATGGAGAAATCGTTATTTTTTGATGAGTCACATGAGAGTGATTTAGTTGAATCAATTGATGAATTCAGTTTGAGAGAGGAAATGACATTACCTGCTTCAGAAAATTCAAAAAAAAAAAATCAACGTAAATTTCTTGTTACAGTTGAGATTATAATTAATTTTCAGCATGCTAATTAATAGCTTTCAGGACAAGATGGCTTTTGGAAAAGCATCTCTGAGAAATTTATGAGTTATCAAAATAATATTTCTAAAACACGTCGAATTATAACGTGAGTTTTGTTGTTTCGATTTTAACATGAAACTGCTTATTCATAGATTTTTTTGCTATCTGATAGGTTACTGGGGAATTTTCGACTTGACACAAGAGAGTCTCCATGGATGCAGAGTTTCCCCAGAACGAAATTGACAAAATTGCACAAGATTTTGCTAATCATGTCCAATGGTCTCCACAACCTATTCCTAAATACCTTCAAAAACATTTCGATTCTAATTACGATCCATCTAAGATTGAGAGGATTGAAGACTATTCAGCGTTTGAAAACCTCCACATAAATATTAAATTTGCAGAATTGGCTCATCAATTATTTGAGCGAAGTCCTTTGATATTTATTTAGTAAGGATTTTTTTTTCTTTACCAGAATATGTCATATACCTTCCGTAAAGGGAGCTAATACTGAAGAATCACTCAAATATACAACAATATACCCTCTGTTTAATGCAGTCGTGGATCCATTATTGGTTAATGATATGTGGTGGGTCACTTTATACAGCAAAATATATAATTAATATTAACATTCCACATATCACTCACCATGTGAGTAATTCACACATATGGACCATATGGACTGGTCTCTGGCAGCCCCTATTAAATTATTATATTTGACATTGACTAAATATTTTAGAGAAAACTTCACCATGTGTGTAATTCACACATATGGACCATAGAGGGGAGAGGTTCAAGCAGTTGGTTCTAAAGAAGCAAGAAACGAAAATGCGAATCCTTTTGTTAAGCTCGCGTTGGAAGAAAGGTCGATATGAAAGGAGTCTTGACTAGAACTTCAAACGACCCAAGTCGACACGTATCTTTCAGAGCACTAATTATAATGTCAAAATACAATTGAACTATAATAACAATTACTTACAAATTTGAGGCATTATACGGAGAGGTTGCGGGTGGACTTTCCTCAATTGGCATTTCGCTTGCTTGGTAGGGGAGGTTTCTTAAAGATCCTCATTAATTATAAGATTGTTGAAATCTCTGGGAATCTGCGTCCCAAAAATTTACTGATGAAGCTATCTGAACTTATGAATACTGTAAAAATTATAGACAACTATTTTAATCTCCCTGTAAAAAAAGTCGATCCGTTATTCAGTTTTTTATATTCCATTTTTTTTCCGTAAAAGGCTCATATTTCCGGAATTAATAACCTTATATCACGGAATTTATCGACTTATTTACATTTTCCGTGAATGGATCCGTGAAAGTCATTTTTACGGAGTTTTTATAGAAATAACGGATAAAATTTTTTATAGGGTCTATTAAGTATATTTGGCTTATCTTAAAAAAAAAAAGAAATTACTTTAAATAAAATAAAAGCTTTTTTTTACATGACATTTCAGTTGCATAATCTAAATTTTATTTATTTATATTTAATATTTTTATGAAAATTTAACCAGTTTATTGTTAAAAAAATCAGGAAATATTGGAATATTGTATAATAACAGAAATTCCTACACATTTTTATTAATTGTTAAGGTAATATATAATGGTATTTTGCTATATTTTTAGGATTTTAAAATTAAAAATAAATTCATATTACTATTAAATTATAATTTACAGTAAAAATTCAAAATTTTAGAAAATTTCTATAATATATAATATATTATACAAAAAAAATATATTTTAAAATAATTTTTTTTTAATTGATAATAAAATATTTCTATTTATTTTGATAATATTTTGTAATAAAAAAAATAAAATTAATTTAAATGAAAAAAAAAAAATAATTAATTAAAATAATATAATAAATATATATATTTAATTCACTAATAAATTTATATAATTATATTTTTATTTTTATTGGTATTATTAATAATAATTAGAATGGAGTTTTATTTTGTATTTAATTAGTAATAGTTATATTCTTATTCTATATATAAAGTATATGTAAACACTTTAAAGTTTTTTTTTTTAAAAAAAAAATAATAATTATTAATTTATTTTTTTTTCAGATTATTAAAGGGAACAGTATTCCTTATTTAAAGAAAAAATTACAAGAATCAAACCTATTATAAAAAAGTTACATCCTACCTGCCTGCAAATATATTCCATAAGTTTAGATTATTAATTTACTTTAATTTTAATATATAGTAATTACTTATAGGTTTAATTTTTATTATAATATTAATTAATATTCTATTCTAAGTAAAAAAAATCTTTTAAGTATTTAATTTTTTTTTAAATAAGAAGGTTATTAAGAATTTTTTTATTAATTTAAAGATTTTATTAAGCTATTTTGAAGTTTTTAAAAAGTCTGCTAAAATGACATAAATCTTTTTATTTTATTTTAAAATTGGTATATTTGTTTAAAAAAATAAAAGTTTTAACCAAAATTCAAAATTTTTAAAATTTTTACTATATTTTTATTTATATTTTGATCTTTTCAATTTATTTTTTAGATAATATTGAATTTTAAACAGATTTTTAGGATTTGATAATAAAGTTTTTAAATATAAACTTAAAAATTAGTCTAAGCAGGCAACTTTACCTATAAATTATTCTACAAAATTAAAGGAAATTATAAATAATTTCATATAACTAAATTTGGCTAATATTTACACATTATCTGTAATTTTGGCCCGAATCATTAAACGGAAAATTTTAATATTTAACGAGCTAATTTGAATAAAATATAAAACTTTTTTATTTAATAAGAACTACAGTTTCTGAATCACAAACCCTAATTTTTAACTTTTTTAATTCATTCTATTACAAATTTTTCCGATAGTAAAAATCTGAACAGAAATCCCGATAAAAGATTTCTTAAGGGGTATAAATACCAGATTACCAGATTATACAGAACGATATGATCTAATCAGAGCGCATGATGATTAGCCGATGCGTTGTTTTAAAACGAAATATTAAAGGTAAGGTTTGGAGATTCATGTTTTTAAGGATTACTTCGAGACTGAAGAGATGAAAGATTTGTTCACGATTGAATCCACTTAATCCAAAAAGAGTATGGATCGGATTGATAGATCCAAACATTACCAAAAGGATCTTTGAAGGAGTTAATAAAATGAGATTGATTTATTAATAAAAAATAGGAGAATTATGAAATAACAAATATGTGGCAATAAATAATTGGAAAATGTTTTTCTCCATATTTCATTCCGGTAAGAAAATTACCATTATCTAATGAAAAAATTGAAAATGTCACGTTCATTTATTTGTACATTGTACATTGTTATAAGAATGGTATAAGTGTATAACAATATGTGATTTTTTTTTTTTATAATAGAATATTTCAATCATTGACCAACCCCTTTAATTGAAGATATGGACAAAGATTTCTATAAACGCTTAAAAGAATCCCTTCTCGTGTGAATCCCCCCTGAATTTTTTTTTTTTTTTTTGCCCCACAAAATTTTAAGAAGATTAAGAAAGATTAAACTTATGACATATTTTATTATTATGCTTACTCAGTCCATCAATTATTTATTATTGTGTTTACTATTATTACTAAAAGATGGAGAAAAAAAAAGCCTCGAGCCGGGTATGCCTTTTATCAATAATAGATCTACCAATATATTCAACCACTAATTGTACGACAAGCTTTGTAACCTCACAAGTTCAATTATAAAGTTCAAATAAATAAATAAATAAATAATTATTACACTAAAAATGTACGTATAAAAAGAAATCTATTATTATCTTATTCTATCTTTGATTTTCATTAAACTAAAAACAAATAATAAATTAAAGTTATTAAAGTTATATAGTTTAATTTGTAAAAATGTAATAAAATGTAACCCAAAAAAATCAAACAAATAAGTATTATATTCTTAATTTGTCGATATTTTATTTTTTTTAGTTTAAACTTCAATTAAGTAAATTTATATGTAAATCTCTTATCAAATGAGACACAAGGAAACGAAAATTTCCTTATATCATCATCCCTAACTCCGATTCTTTATTTACGCGCTGCACCTTGATTCATTTAATATAAACAAAGCAACATAGAAAGAGTTTTATCTTTTTAAAATATACCCCAAATTTGTTAATTATTTACAATCCCTTTTTCGTTCATCCCGAACCCTTATAAACTCAATGTTCGTTAAATTTATTTTTTTTTTTTCTTTTTTTTTTTCTTTTTTAAAATAATGCTATCAATCTCATTATCATCTGCGCCACAAAATTTAAAATCTTTTAATTCAATCTTTCTATCAAAAACTTCTCACTCTCCAAGATCCCCGATGAAATCACAAGATTCATCCAAAGATGAAAATCATGAAATAAACTTTGTATTGAATTGTTCTAAAAGGGTTTTATCAATTTTTCAAAATTTTAAATTTCATAATGATTTATGTGAAAAATGTAATAGATTTGTTGACCAAGCTATTAATATATTAGAAGAGATGAAAAATTTATCTGATAATAATAAAAAGGTTAAATTAATTGAAAGTAATGAATATAATCATTTTAATAATTTAATTTTCGATATCGAATTTTATTTAAGAAAGTATGATCAAAGAACCGCAGTTCAATCTGAAGTTAAGGAATCAATTCAAGAATTCGCTCTTAATTTAGAAAGTTGTATTAACTCTTTTCGACAAGTTTTTGAAGCTGAAAAATCAAAGAAAACAGGTGGATGGAGTCCTTCTGTTATCTCAAAAGTAAAAACTATTGGAAGATTAATAGCTATGTCAAAACGTCCAGAATCGATTAAAGAAGAAGCTACTCATGATGATGAGAATAATAATGATAATAATAATAATAATGATGATGATGATGATGATGATGATATTTATATTGCTTGCGAGGAAGAAAATCCAAATAGACTTATCATTCAACAAGAATTAATTATTTCGACAGGTATTCATCGTGGTGCAAATAATATAAGAAAGGGAGTCTTTATTAATGAAGAAGTTGCAGAAAAGTATATTGGTAACATTTCGAAAAAGTCTCATAAATTCTCTAAATTTCAGAAAGAGATTTCTTATGTCAAGAACCTTTCACGTGATTGCAATAATATTCTTTCTGTGAATGGATATTTTGAACGTAACGGATGTTTATGGGTTGTTGAAGAATGGGCTGAATATAATCTCTTGAATTATTTAAGAGAAAATTTAAATTTAGATTGGAAAATTAAACTTTCAATCGCCTGTGGAATTGCTAATGCATTAAATTATATTCATAATTTAAACTTACTCCATTATAACGTTAAAATTGATAATATTTTATTAAATCAAAATCTTGAACCAAAACTTCATAATTTTGGTAAATATAAAGATAATGGTTGTATTTATTTAAAACCTTTTCAACCTTCAAATTGGACAGCTCCTGAAATTAAACGAAAAGAGGATTACAATTCAGCAAGTGAAGTTTATAGTTTTGGCGTTATTCTTTGGGAGATTGCTACACAAGATTGTCAATCAGAAGATGAATTTATTGAACGAAGATATGTTGATGATGCACCAGTAAATTATCTTACTCTTATGGGGAGAGCTTTGAATAAAGAACCACATAATCGTCCAACTATGCAAGAAATGTTTGAATCTCTCCATCAATTAAAATCTTCTTATAACGTACGATATCAAAAGATACCTTTAGAAAGAAATATGTCAAATACGAATTCTATTGCTTCCAATTCATCCGAAGATTCTCCCATTTTAAATGATGGTAAGTAAGATTTTTTTATTACAAAATTTCTCTTGTAACATTTTGAATTAATAATTTATTTATTTTGAATTAATAATCATATTTGAAATAATAATCACGTGTAGAATCATGTATTACATCACGTGCAAATTCTATACCAACTTCCCCAACTTTATCATCAGATGATGGTTGTAATTCAACATTCATCAATGAGATTATTGATGTGCCAACTTCTCCTACTTCATTATCAGATGATGATTGTAATTCAGCACCAACCATTAAGATAATCGATATAGAAAAAGATTTAGAACAAGCAATTAAATTTCACGAAAATCGTCATTATTCTAAAGCATTCAAATTATTTAATGAATGTAATCGAAAAAATCCAACATCAAGTATAGCAAAATATTGGATAGGATTATATTATTACAAAGGGTATTATAAAGTAACAAAATCATCCCAACAATCTATAAAATTAAGTTTAAAATATTTTGGTGAAGCAGCAAAATTAAATCATCCTGATGCTCAATATTATTATTCACGTATATTATTGAATAATCCTTCAACAGATTCTGAAGAAAATAGGTTTCAAATTGCTTTAGATTTTTTGAAAAAAGCTTCAGATCAAAATCATCCTCCTAGTATGAGATGGTTAGGTAAAATAATGAGTAAAGGTGAATTCGGTTGTAAAAAAGACATTGAAACTAGTAAAAAATTAACCGATCGATCCAGAAGAATGAGTAAAGGTAGCGCTGAAAGTCGAAATGTTAATATTTCAAACGGATCTACGACGACTCTTAAAAGCAATGTTAATGTTAAACAAAAGAAAAGCAGAGCATTATCAAACCCTACAGCAACTTCAAGATCTATTATCACTTCTAATCAAGCATCGAAGCGAAATTCTACATTATTTGGAAATACGACATTAACCGTGAATACTAATAAAACAAGAAATAGACATAGCACATTATTTTAATGATTAATTAGATATTTTTTAGATAAAATTTATAAAAATTTTAATTTATTTGTTTCTTACGATTTACGAACATTTTTATTGTATAATTGTTATAATAGTTGTATATTCTTTTTTTTTTTAAATTTCATTGTTTAATAAATAAAATAGGTATATATATATATATTTATAATATAATTTTTTTATAAATTTGTAATAATGGCTGCACCACATCCGGGACTAGTAGCAAAAATAACATTTTCTAATTCATCCTTTGATAAATTTGGAAATTTAATATTATAATATTTTTCCGTAACATAACGTATAAATTTATCAATATCACTCTCATAAATTAAAGAAACAGTACATCCTCCCCATCCAGCACCAGTTAATCTACTACCAAATGCCCCACCATCTAAACAAATTTTTACCAATTCATCTAATTCATCACAAGAACAATTAAATAATTCTTTGCAACTTTTATGACTTTCATTCATTAAATTACCTAATTCTTTAACAATATTTTCTCTTTTATCCTCATTTAAACATAGTTCATAAAACTTTAACACTCTTGATGCTTCTTCAAATACATGTTTAGATCTTTTATATAATTGAAATTTATTAGCTCTAATAGGAAATTTACCAATAAATTTATTATTAATTTCATCATGTTTCAAATTTAAAAGTGAACTTAATTCATCTAAAGTAAATCCTTCTTGATTTTCTTTATAAATATTATCAACATAATTTGATAATTTAATTAAATTCTCAATACTAACTTCTTCACTATTAGAATATAAGTCACAAACTTGTTTCAAATTTTCACAAGGATTATTAAATAAAGATTTACCTAAATGGTAAGCCGCTAATTTTGTTTCTACAACTCTTAGATTATAATTTGTTGGAGCAGTGACTACTTTATCAGAAGTAATGAGAGAATTAGCCACAACAAATACAATTGATGGGTTAACAGATGGTAATTTTATTGGAGTAGCGGTGAGTGATGGTAAAAATTTAATATATGAAGCATGATCTTTTAATGAAAATATCGAAACGGTTTGATCCATTCCTCCTGCGTTCATTCCCGTAAACCTTTCAGCTATAATTGCAGTCTCCGTAATTTTTGTCTTCGTTACCTTTACGTCATTGGCAAAACAAGTTGCAATAATAACTGAACAAATATAAGCCGCTGAACTTGATAATCCTGCACCTGGAGGAATACTTCCATCAACCAAACAATACATTCCTTTGGGTTTATCTAATGATAAATGTTGAAGAATTCCTTTATATCCACTTTTAAAATAATTTTCCCATTCAGAAACTCCTTCTTCAACTTTAATTTCCACGATCTTTTCTTTTCCTTCATATTCCCAACTTTTTGATGGATATTTTTCATTTAATATGTTAGCTATTCTAACTTTCATATCATTCTCTTCATTAGTAATATCAACCGCAATTATTAAATCTCTACTAATTGCCATAGGTAATACTCCAAATCCTGCATAATCGATATGTTCCCCGATTAAATTTACTCTACCTGGTGATCGCGCAATAAATTTTGGTTTACGATTATATAATTTTTCAAATACACTAATTAATGATTTATATCTTGTTATTTGTTCAAGTTGGTTTATTTCTGGATATATTTCAGAAATTGAAGAAAATTTTACGTTAGGGATGAATTCAGTATCCATCATGAAAAGATAAAGAGAGGGTGAGAAAATTTTATTTTCACATTTTTCACAGGGTATAAATAAATAAAAATTTTTATGCTCATCAAAAAAATTTTGTGCAGATGATGATGATCGTAGCGGCGTAGCCGCTGACAATATATAATAACAACAAAAAAAAATTTTCTTTTAATGATCAACCTTCTCTTTTCCGACAATCTTTTTTTTTTTAAAAAAAAAAAAAAAAAAAAAATTTATTATTAATATAAATGATATCAAGAAATTTCTTCATTCATACTAAAACGAAACAAGGAATAACTTCTTACATTTTTGGTACTATACGATATATATTTAACTTTGGTACTTGCTATTCACGTAATGATATTTTATTTTCAAAAATATATCATAAATTTTTTCCCACAAATTTATTAATATTCAAAATAGATCAACAAAATCGATTGTTTTATTTACCCAGGACAATAAAATGTGGTAGTACCACATCAAATTTTATACCAGAACTTCATTCCATATACAATAAAAAACCACGTTCACCAATAACAACAAGAAGATTTTCAACGCCACGAAATGGATCATCATCATCATCCGTAAAGATTACGACAAATACGACAAATGATCAAGAAAATCTTAGATTAAATGAATTGTCATCAAAGGAAAAAGCTATACAACGATTTTTTAAAGCAAGAAAACATTTAAATTTAACAGAAGAATTATCTAGTAAAAAAAGCATTGTGAAAAAATTTTCTAAAATTCGGAAAAGAGTTATTGAAAAAAAAAAAGAATATGAAAATAATTTATCGAATTCATATAAAGGAATTAGAGGGAGAAATATTATTCGTTATAGATTTCAAAATCCTTATGAATCTCAAGAAATAACAAAATTAATTAAAGTACGATCAATTCAATGGAAAAAAAAGATGAATAATATTTATATAAGCGAGATCAAAAGAAATTTGGTATCTCTTGAGAAACGGGATATTGAAATGGTTTATTCGATTGTTGAGAAAATTTTATATAAACCGAAATTACTTAACAATCTTACTATATTAGAGATACGAAAACTTGTAAAATTTTTTTCCAAAAAAAAACCATTATATGCTATCACCATATTAGAAGCTTTAAGAGATTATGAATTCAAATTGGAACATCAGGATTATAGTATGATACTCAAACTATATAGAATTCTAGAAGATAATCATATTGGTGCAATGTATACGTTTGAGGTTCTAAAGACTCAAGGATTTGATCCTAGTTTAAAAGATTATCTTAATCTTTTACATGTCATAATAATTAAGGGTGTTAATTTTAAACAAGTGTTTAATTATATTGAAGAGATGGCATCAAAAGATTATCAAGTGGATTATTACGTTAATTCACTTATTATTGATAGATTGATTGAAGTAAATAATATAACAGTAGCTGGAAAAATTTTAATGGATATGATAGAGAAAGGACAAGTAACTCATGGATTAATACTTCCAAATATATTTAAAAAACAACAGGAAAGTGATGTAACATCAGGAGATTTATCTTTATACGTTACAATTTATAGTGTACTAATTCAAACATTTATTAATCATGATCATTATAACAAGGCAGTTGAATTTTATCGGAAACTTTTAAAAAAATATTTAACACCCGATAAACAAATAGTTGAAATGATGATTTCCGCTTGTTTGACTAGAAATGATAATAAGATAGCACAAGAATTTTTAATACATACGCAAACATCAAATATAAATCATATATTTTTTAATACTATGAATCATTGTATCAAAAATAGAAATTTCAAAGATTTATTTAAATTATATGAAATATCTTGGTATAAAAATATTACATTTACGGAACGAGAATATCATGATTTAATATATTCTTTATGTATTGAAGATTGTGCGACGGACTCTTTTATAATTTATAAAGATGCAAGATCAAAAGGGTTATTAAAAGAAGATCTTTTTATATTCAATAAATTATTAAAAATTATGGTAAAATATGAAAAAATAAAAGAAGTGAAAATTATTAAAAAAGATATGGAAAATTTAAAAATAAAACCGAATATTGAAACTTATAGAATCATGATTCAATTAGCATCAGTACAAGGAGTACCTGAAAAATCCGAGATGATATTTCAAGAAATTTATCGAGAAGGATTATCAATTGATTATACAACATTTTCTTCTTTAATTAAATGTTTTGCAGATTCAGGAAATTTAAAGAAAGCGAAAAGGGCATTAAATATAATGTTTCAATCAGATTTTAAACCAACTATTAATGATTATAATCATTTAATAAGAGCAGCAGGAAAATCATCTAATTATGATGTTAAAAGTATTGGTATTAGTATATTACGTGATACAAATCAAGAAATCAAACCAAATATTGATACATATAATTATTTTTTAGAATCTTATTTATCATCAAATTATTTATCAGTTGCAAAAAGAGTTTATAAAACAATAATTAAAGATGGATTTAAATTTAATTTAGAAACATTTCACGTATTTTTTAAATATTGGTGTAAAATAAGAGGATATAAAGATGCTTTTGAATTATTTTATGATCAATTAGAATATAATAATTTAGAACCATCAATTTATACATGGAATTTATTAATTAACAAAGCCATTGAATCAAAAAGTTCAAAAATCATAAGAAAAATTTATGATGAATTATATAATAGAGGAATTAAATTAAATAATACTTTATTATATATAAAATTAGTTACATTTTGGGGATATGAAAAGGAATATAATAAAGTTGAAGATATAATAGATCATATAAGAATTGGAAGAATTGATGAAGATATATTAATTGATTCTATAACTGAATTTATTAATATTTGTATAATTCATAAACAATATGATAAAGCCGAAAATCTTTGGAATTTGGTACAACATGAAAAATTAATTCCTAATGAAAATTTATATAATAGTTTAATTAAATTATATACAAAAATGAATGATGATAATAAATTACAAAATATTTATAAGATTTTGAATTAATGTTATATTATTATATTATAACAAATAAATAATAATTTATAATTTGTATAATTTGTTATAATTTGTATATAATAAATAAATAAATAAAAAATAAAAAAAAAAATATTTTTAATCTCGATTAAATTTAATCTCTTTNCAATTCAATATTATAATAAATTTTATCAAAGAGAAAAAATAAAAATAAAGAAACTTTTTTTTCTAAATAATTTAATTTATCTTGAGAAATAATTGGTTTTTTTGATTAATAAAAGATTCTTTACGTTTCCAAACAATTATTATCGTATAATATTTAAAGGTTATGATTATACAAGGATAAATTATTATTTATTTTATTTTTTTCCACGCATTGACCTCACGTCTAAAATATAATTCTTACCTAAAAAAAGATTATAAAATAATGATAATCTAGATTTTCGTCAAAGGAATGACCGAAATGTCATGATTTCATGGGTAAATTTAAAAAATTTGAATTTTTGGAAGAAAAATTCTGAAAAGTCTACCAACGTTATCAAACATCACAAATTTTCATAAACTTATATTCGATAAGAATCTGACCAAACTTTGACTTATTGAATGCAAAGCAGGTAACGCAAAGACGCAAGTGACGCCACGTTATCACGTGGAATTTATGGCGTTTATGCATTAACCTATGAAAAAATTCTGAAAACTTTAAAAATTTGGTTCATTCTATAACCAAAAAAAATTTTTTTCATGAAAAAAAACTGTTATTTAACGCCTTTTTTGTTTATAAAGGCGAAAGCTACAAATATTACTGCGGAAGTTAAAAAAATTTTTTTTTTTTAAATAATAAAGATTTTCATCAACTCATTGTTCAATATGTTGATTTGTGCGACCATCGATCAGAATTATGGAAGCTGATAGAAACATTGTGTAAATTAATTTTTTTTTATTACGAAAAAAAAAATTATCCAATGAAATGAATTCAAAATTCAAGAATAATATTGATGCAGGGACAAGTATTTTTTTGATATTGCACTAATATACTAAAATTTAATATATTATGTAATAACATATGCACATACAGTACTTTAAAACTGAAATCACTGAAATCACCGAACAGTGAAATCAGTGAAATCAACCTGATTTTTCTATAATAAGAATGATTGTATTGATCGTATCCAAATATTTCCAACCTCCGACCGATTTTTTTTTTGTATTTAAGAAATAAAAGAACCAACGGTTTTTGAAAATATTTTTTCTTTCTAGAATTTTTTTTTTTTAAAAAAAATATAACGATATACTTTTATCAAAATTGAAATAAAAAAACTTTCCTATCAAGTTTTATTTTTTCCTAATAAAACCCATAAAATAGAAGAGAAAGAATATATATATATATAGATAGAAAAAAAAGGTGTTTTTTCATATTTTGTTTATACTTCATGATAATAAACAGAATGCGTTTACGTAAATCTTTAAGCCAATCTTTAAAAAAATCCGTTCGTAAAGTTAAAGTTGCCTTACAGATTAAAAAAGTTAAAAATGAAGGTAAATATTATTGAAAATTCATATTATATATATTATATTAGTACTATTATGATTAGATTATGTTGAATAATGAACAATTCTTATTTTATTTTTAGTTGGCAGCTTACAGGAAAAGATAAATACTAATAGAGATATTAACGACTCCACGTGGCTGGACCAAAATACAGACTTACAAGATAATAGAATAGAAAGTTGGTGGAAGACGGAAGAAGAAAGAATTATGAGCGAATTACGAAATATTGGTAAAACTGATTCAATCATGTTATAATAATCCTCACCTACAACAAAGAAATTATTTGGAAGAAGTCGTTAAAAAAAGCAGTTGAAATTTCTTTTCCTTTTTTTACAAAAAAAAAAAAAATATTCATTATACTCTCAATATTTGGAACAAAATAATTGTCAAATAATATCTTTTTAATTTCTGATCCCTTTCTCAACTGTGTGAATTGGAAGTTTTCCGGAGAATTGGATTCAAATTATGAATAAGTTATTTTTATTTTATTTATTTATTTTTTTTTTTTTCAAAAAAAAAAAAAAAATCAATTTATATTAATTAAGATATCACCCTAAAAATTAAGCATGTAAATAGAACCGAAATTTTATCATTTTTTTTTACTTTTTTTCCGTTATACTTTATGTTTCAATTATACCCAACCTTTTATATATTAGTTCAACAGGTTTTGACGTTGTAATTTTACTAAAAATGGTTGGTTGTAAAACATTTGTTGAAATATAACAGATAATGTATTTTTAACAAGATTAAAAATTCCCCTTGTAACTTTTGTAATGTATTTTATTATAATATATTTATCACACTCAGTTTTTATTTTATTTTATTTTACATATATATTCATATTATTATAAATCAAACATTGTCATTAAAATGTAAATTTTACCTTATAATATGGATGAACATTTTCTTTCTTTACCCGACATTTATTTTTAATAACGTCCGATTTCCGCGCCAGAATTTTTGGTCAAATCATAGAAAGTATTAGATCATTCATTAAACATATCTAACATTGGACTTTTAGCTTAGCTATAAATAATAGACAATGTAAATTGAACATGTATTAAATATATGACGTATAATCTGGATCATGTAAATCCTTTTTATTTTCGTAGAATCCTGAAAATTTTCAAATTATGAATTAAGACACATGATTGGCTGCTTTACCTCCTCTTATTATTCATGGAATTTATTGAGGAGAGAATATAGAATATATAAAAAGTGTATAGTAATTTTAGACAAGAATTTCCTTGAATCAAGAGAAAACGATGAAGAACCTAACCTACAAATAATTCGACATGTGTTAGATAGTAGATCACCAAATCCAGTCCTATCCTATAACGTTAAAGTACAAAAAAAAAATATCATAAAATCTACTATAATTTCTAATTTCTTCGTTTACTAAAATCAAAAAAAAAAAAGCTTTTGTCGTTAATAGGCTCTTACTGGTCACGAGTAAAGTATCTAAATTTCCTGCAGGTGATTTGATGACATAACAATCATTTTCCCCATACTTTGCCATTTTAGAACTTAAACTTTGGATCTTTGCAGATGCAGGCACGGGGCATGGAATTTTTGGTGAAGCTTAATTTTAAAATGTGAATTAAAGAAAACAATCCAGCAGCCAACGACGATGATTCATGTGATGATCTACACTATCGGTAGGACGACTCAAAAACGCGGCAAATATTGTATGTTAATTAATAAGGGGTTTCGATTTTTTTTTATTATTCATGTTTGCAAGCTATTTTTACCAGATGATCTACCATCAAACTACTTATTCACTTTCCTCACAAGCTAACTTATACTTCAAAATACAATTGAACTTACTGGCAATAATCAATGATGGAAATATTCTGCTGAAAACCCCAGCGTTGAAAGTTACAATGTCCTAGAAAGGAGATGAGATTGCAATTATAGTATTATTTTTAATCAGAAAAAGGAAAAAAATATTTTTTTTTAATTTTCTCATTTGCTTACAACTTGTAATAATTCTAATAATAATAGAAAAATATTAAAAGTTTATAATAATTTACGTAATTTGTTATCAAATTTTTTTTTTTTTTCTATACTAGATTTTGAATTCACGATACAAAAATCAAAAGAAATTTGAGTTTTATATTGCAACAGTACAAATCAAACATGATAACAATGTATTATTTATTAGTAAGTATGATGTTTACAAGTTTTTAAAGTCACATCTATTAGTTCATGGTTTGTGCAGAAACTGGAATAATTCGATTTCAGAATCGCCACAAATTTTTGGCTCAAAATTTTTGGTCCAAATTATACAATTTGGTCGACCAATATTAACAACAAATCTAAATTGAAATAAATTAATAATACAAATTATAATTGTAATTATGTTATAAAATCTTGAATTTTTTTTCTTTTTGAAATGAGTATTAAATACGATGATTCAATAAAAAAATAAAATACTTATTAAGAAAGATTCTCAATCTTAATACTTCAAGAAAAGAAAAAAGTTAGGAACGAGATGAATTTCCAAAAGTCCCTTGAAAAAAAAATTAAACTAGCTAAGCAAAGAAATTATCGATGGGAAAGAAATTTTATTTTATTTTTAACTTTACCAAATACCAATACCAAGAGCATTAAAAAGTTTCTTGAAGACTTTCATTTCTTCGGGAAATGATACTTATTTTGTGCCCTGTATTCTAGTTTGAGATACACCCCATGAAATTTTCTATCAATAGTTCATAATCACAGAGTTTCATATTAGGAGATTTCCCAATTCTAATACAATTAGGAAATGGAAACCATTATAAAGTCCGAAGACATAACCTTTTTCCGAATCAAAAATAGTTTGCATTTCATTACTTACTTTCCCATAAATGGCTGCCTCTACTTTGAACCATATACATTCGATTCTAACTTAACTTAACTCTTACTATTTTAGTATAATAGGTGATCCAATCCCTGTATTCACGCATCTTTATTTTCTAATTTATTTAATAATTCTTCCCACAAGCACAAAAAGATCTTTGTTGATTGCTTTTTATTATTCTTCCATTATATTAATCACATGTTTTATGTTATTTCTAAGTTATCTGTACATTCAATCAGGTTTTCGTTGTAAACGCTATCCCCAATGGTTTTCATATTATCAGTCTCATCACGTCTTTTTTCCATAGTCAACTTATAAAAAATAAGGCGATTAAGGAGAATTATTTTTTATATTAAACCTAGATAGAAGTACACAGAAATACATGTGAAAGATTCAGATACTTAACTTTTGGATGAGTGTATTTCTCTTATTGTTTAAGAATTTTAAAAGTGTATGCGAAGAGATCAATAGTGATATGCTCGATATGCTGACGATTTAAAAAGATCCCACTTTTTGACCATAGTCATATGAGCCAAATTTTATATGTTATCAATTTATCAGTTACGCGGAAAGTAGCTTGTGTGCTTTGTTAGTTGTTGGTTTACTCAATTCCAGGAATTCAAAGACCTTATTAAAGATGGCGCTTCTATAGATGGCGCTTCTATCTAAAAACTGTCGAACAATGTCCCACTTCAACTTTTCAAACCTTTAAAGGACGGAGTAAACAATATCTTTACTAAGCTAAGCTGGAACACAAAATTAGATCACGAATCAAGATATAGAGCTCTACTAAAGCGATTTGATTTCTCTTCAAATGATTCGATTATTTCACGAATAATGTTGGTCTTGCATCATATTATGCCATACAAATTAACTCTTTCTGTAGATTCACGTCCATAATTCTTAATCTTCTAATGTTACCCTACTTCTTGATCAACTGATGCAATGATCAATTTCAATTTCTTAATATTAATCTTACATTTTCTTCGGTTTCTTTATTGAGTTCTCAATTTTAGACCTCGACTTTTCTGTTAGATTGTTAATATCTGACGTTTACTTTTACGAGCTTTGAAATTCATTGCATTAATTTTATGTCCCCAAATTCTTTCAATTATTACGTAGTTTATTAGATGATTAGAATTCCTTCCTGTATTGATCTAACAACTTAATAAAGATCTTTTACATATTGAGTCTTAGAGTCTACCTTTATCAATTCACAAATCACACCGAATATAAATTTAATTGGTCGTATATCATTGAGCTCAAATATTTTATTTACACGAAATTATTATAGAAAATATCAAAGAACTTAATCTTTTCAGAGTACATGTTCAATGTTATGTATGAGCAATCAATTGCGGTATGGATCTATCAACATTTTTGACTTTGAAGAATATTCTAGCTAAGCATCACGTTTCCTTATAAAAAATCAACGTAACAAAAGATTAATGATAAACGGTTGTAAAGAATTTAATTATGAAACACAAATCTTTTAAATACTGTATGCACACTGCACGAGAACCTACCATTTTAAATACTTGCTTGCATATTCTAAACAGATCTTCTATTACGAACGTGAAGATCGGAATAAAAAATTTTAAAATAAAAATATGTTTATAAAGTTTCTTTTTAAAGTCAAATAAATAAGAATTATTTTTTTTTTGGTAGCCTTTTTTTAATTTGTAACGTTTGACAAGGTCACAAGGATCGTCCATACGTCAGATGTAACCCCTGTTAAATTTATCTTTTCAGCCAAAAAAAAACAAAATGATGATCATGATTTTCAATACGTAAATATTACCCATTAAAAAATTAATGATATGAATGCTATAAAAGTAAACCGAAAATCCTTGTTCTTTTTATTTTTTCACTTAAAATTTTAAAATTTAATTTAATAATAATCATCACTAAATCGATGATAAAAGATTATTTTCCCAAATGTCTGATCCTTTAACATCCAATGACTCGAAAAATGATGAAATTGAATCTTCTGATAACAATATATTAGTACAACTTTCCAATAAAACGCTTGCATTATTGAATCAAAATAAAGACGATAAAAATGATTCATCTACTAAAAATGAATCGGATAATGAAGAAGATGAACAATCTTATTGGCAACAATCTATATTATCAAATATCTTCAATACGAAAGGAAATTCTAAGAGTCAACCTCGCCGTCGTCGTAATACTGACCCGAACAAACAACAAAGACGTCGAAAATCCAAACCATTAGAAAATGCGCCAGGACCTTCAGATGATCAATTATCTGCTCCATACATTGAAGAACATCATCCAGAACAACCTTATTTTACAAGACAAAGACGTCAATCAGAACCTCCTGACTCGGATTTAATTAGTGAAGAAGCTGGACCATCTAATCAAATAAAACAACAACTCGAAGAAGAAAAAGAAGAAGGTAAGTTTAATTATTCTTGTTATATACACATATATATGGTTTTTTTTGTGTATATGTATTGATTATAATTTGATAAATTTAAGTAAAAGATACGAAAACCCTATTTCGCAGTCGTGTTCGGAAAGCACTTGCTATGTCAAAAATTAATAAAATGATCAGTTCATCTGATAGAAAACATTTAAGGGATACTGGTAATTTAGGGGTTCTTACATTTCCAAGTCCGATTATTGTACCTTATTTATGGGCTCGAAGAGATAATAAAGGTCATAAAGCGGTAATTAAACTGAATTTTACTTTAATAAATTTAAACTTAAGCAACCAATATTTATAATTCATTTTATTTTATAGCCATTTATCTTATTTGATGCTTTGAAGGTATTAACTATTACTTTTTTTGTATTTTAACAATAAAATGTTTTACTTATCGAATTTTAATTTTTTTTAGCTTGCAATTACAGACTCACAAAAAGATGAAAATAATTATAATGTACAAACCATATTTAGAATTGAATTAGAATATGGAGATGTTAAATGGGTTATTAAAAGAACAGGATTTGATTTTGTTTTACTTTATTTCAGTTTAAAACAAAGGAATGACTTGCCTTTTATACCAAAGATACCAAGTGGTCTTTATAGATGGTTTAAATCGTTTTTTCACTCACCTCAAGTACGACATGAACTTCACCAAGCCGCAGCTCTTGAAAGAAGGAATCAGTTGGAGGATTATCTAATTAAATTAATTAGAACATTAAATATGCATGTTTCTTACGAGCTCAATGAATTCTTGGAGATTGGTGCTATTTCTATAACAAGAGACATGGGATGGAAGGGAAAAGAAGGTTATTATGCGAATAAAGTTGATAGATTCTATACGCCTATGTGTTCTTTTAGGAGTTCGAAATGGATAACCGAATGGGTAGTCGTTCGTGATTCATATATAGCATTTAATTCACATATGAGTTCGTTAACACCATCAGATGTTTTCCTTCTTGACAAACATTTTAAATGCAATAAACTTACTTTGCAAGGAACACTCGATCGTGTAATAAAATTAAAACTTCATGACCACGTTAGTATAGAAAATAGTTCCCGAAGGATTGAACTTAAAGGCGATTCACGTAAATTGAATGAACTTTTGGAAAGCATTGAAAGAATTACGCAATCATCTCCCTGGATTAAACAACATCGATATGACTCTTATGCACCTATTAGAGAGAATGTAAAAGTTAAATGGTATGTAGATGGTAAAGATTATTTCTTTGCTGTATCTGAAGCCATTTTAGCAGCTAAATCTGAAATTTATATCGAAGATTGGTGGTTATCACCAGAATTGGTAAGTTTTCTAGGAACTTTCTAATTTTGTATTTGTCAAATAAAACTAAAAAGTTTTATACTTGTAAAGTATTTTCGTCGTCCTCCATCAGAAAATGAGGAGTTTCGATTAGATAGACTGCTTAAAAGAAAAGCTGAAGAAGGTGTGATGATTTATATTGTTGTTTACAAGGAAGTTAAATATTCTTTAACTCTGGATTCATATCATACAAAGAAATCATTACAGGAACTTCATGAAAATATTAAAGGTATTTTTGGAAATTTATAAATGGACTGATAAAATTTCACAATATCAATTAACTTTTTATAGTTCAAAGACATCCAGATCATGGACCTGAGGGTACAATGTTTTGGGCTGTAAGTTTTTTTAATTATTTTTAATTATATATTGAATACACATACAATTATTTATTAATTTTTTATTTAATTTCAAATTTTAGCATCATGAGGTATTTTGATTCCTTTAATTTATGCCAATCCTGAAATTAATAATATTTACCTAAATAATCTTTGTTTATCAGAAAATAGTAGTTGTTGATTGTCGTATTGCATTTATCGGGGGATTAGATTTATGCTTTGGCCGTTATGATACACACAATCATGAATTAGCTGATTGGTGTCCGGATAATTTTAAACAACCCACAATATGGCCAGGTCAGGACTATTCTAATCCGAGGATAAAAGATTTTCAGAATGGTAAGAATTAACTGCGGTCAATATTTGATAATATTATTTTATTGATTCCTTTTCTTTTTTTTTAGTTGTTGATTATGAAACCTCGATGGTTGATAAATCACAAGCTCCTCGTATGCCATGGCATGATGTTTCAATAGGTATATATAGGATTAATGCATTGTAATTACATAAGAAATTTAATAGTTAATATTAATTAAATTTTTATTTATTTATTTTTTTTGTTAGGAATGGTAAGTATATCAATAAATTAAGATTTAAAATTTTTTTAATAATTAAAAATCTAACCAAACAAAATTTTATATTAAATTTATTTTTAGGTTGGACCACCAGCGAGAGATGTGGCAAGACATTTTGTCCAAAGATGGAATTTTATTAAAGATGAGAAAGCTTATGATAAAGATAAATTTCCGTTTTTAACTCCAAAAGGAGAATACGTTAGTACACGTGATGAAAGTAAATTCAGAGGTAAATTTTAAATGGGAATTTATTTAAGATTATCTCAAATTTTCATAACCTATTTTATTAATTTAAGGAACATGTGATGTACAATTATTAAGGAGCAGTGCATATTGGAGTAGTGGAATCGAACGTGAGGTATTCATTTATTTTTTTCCTTAAAAAAAAAAATATATAAATTATTTATTGATTTAATTTATTTATTTTATAGAGCTCCATATATAATGCATATTGTCATTTGATTAGAACTTCGAAACATTTTATTTACATTGAGAATCAATTTTTTAGTAAGTTTATAAGTGATATTATTAAATTTAAAATTGAATTTCTAATATTTTTTCATATTTTAGTTACAACTACAGAAAATGAAGAAAATGATCCAAAATACGTTATCAAGAATAGGATAGGCGAGGTAAGTCATTTTATTATTAATAATTCTAATGTGTTAACCTTTAATTAAAATTTAATTACTTTTAGTGTATTGTTGAAAGAATTAAAAAGGCACATGAAAATAATGAAAAATTCCGAATTATTGTAATTATGCCTTTATTACCATCATTTGAGTCTGATTTAAATTCAAGCGATGCTGGAACAATTCGGTAAGTGATTTCTTTAATTACATATTATAATGAGTATACTTTTTCTCAAATATATATATTCTTTTTTAGCATGGTGATGCATTGGCAATATATGTCAATATGTCGTGGCGGAAAAGGAATTTTAGAAAAATTAAGTGAGGCAGGAATTAATTCAGAGAAATATATTACCTTTTACTCATTACGTGGATATGATAAAGTACATCATGTTAATAATAAGGGTGAAAATAAATCACTTCGATCAAAGAAGTCATTATTGTCTTTAAAAGCAAGGAGAGAAAAACAAAATCAAGAAAGGTCATCAGAAGATAATTCAACACATTTAAATGAACCAACTTCTAGTAAATCATTGGATAAAAATCAAAATATAACTGAATCAAAGCAACCAGAAGTACCATTTGATAACGAAAGTAAAAGTGAAAATGATAAAGAATCACGTTTTTCAAAAGTTTCATTTTCCGATGAAAAAGTAGGAGAGCCAGTTGTTCTTAAGCATTTTACGGAAGAAATTTATATACATAGTAAATTAATGATTGTTGATGATCGTTATGTTATTATTGGTTCAGGTAAGAAAATTTCTAAATTTCTATCAAAGATTTTTAATAGAAAAAATATCGGTGGTATATTAGTTATAGCTTCTAAGTTGCATTTCACGTAACTAATAATTAACTTGGTTTGGCCTATTGCCTATCCTTTATATAGCTAATTTAAATGACAGGTCTCAACTTGGAAATCGTGACTCGGAGATTGCGATTGTTATTAAAGATAATAAGAAAGTTGATGCACGTATGAATGGAAAGCCGGTAAATAAATAATAACATATTTTTTTTAAAAAAATATCAGATATTAAAGAATAATATTATTTTTAACATATAGTATCAGGCATCCAAATTTGCATATACATTGCGGAGCTCTTTATTTAAAGAGCATCTTGGATTACTTGAAATACAAGATCATTCTTCAATTACAAAAAGTTGTTTACCACCAATAAAACCAGATATATTATATGACTTAACAGTTGGGGAAGAAAAGCCATTCACATCAATATTAGATGACCCTGCTTCATTTTATCCTCCCAAGAAACCTAAGCATCCTACAAAAGAAGATTTAGTTGTTATGGACCCACTTTCGGAGGAATTTTATGATTATTGGCAATCTGTCGCACATAATAATACTGAAACTTATCGTTCTGTGTTTAGATGTGTACCTGATGATAATGGTAAGTTTTCATTTTTTTTTTCCTTGATAAAAAATAATAATTTTTAACTTATTTTTTATTATAGTTATTAATTGGGATCAATATAAGGAATTTGTTCCTGATCCTGCAAAAGTACCAACAGGCCATGTAGCAAATTCTGAAGCAACAAAAGAAGAAATAGAAGAAAAATTAAAAAATATTCGTGGACATCTAGTAGTATTCCCTACACAATTTTTAAGTCAAGAAAATTTATTTGGAAGTATAATTTCAAATGCTGTTACTCCTTTTGAAATATTTACATAATATAACCTAGCTATTTTGTATTGATTTTTTTGTATTTATATTGTTGTATTTATAATTTATTTGTTGTCATCAAAATTTATTGATATTCTAGTTATATTATTTATTATTTATATAGAAGTCTTAAAATATGCATGTAAATTTTTTATATGTTTTTAGTATAATATGTTTACAAATTTTAATATGACTCAATAATATAATAATTATCTGTCTCATTGCTTGAGTGATTATGCTAGCTTTTTCGTATTTAAATACGCCAAGATCCGATTTTATATCAGAAATAGGAGTATAGGCATGATACTATTTTCTTAATTACTCCAATTAACTAGCATTGGCGGGTAAATGTTTTATGCCTTGCCATGGAACTTACTGAAAACGTTTTAGCATCACTAACAATATCAAATATTAAATGAGTCTATAAAGACATCGTAAAGTTAATAAAAAAGAATAACGAAAATTGATTTGCGATCTATCATACCTGATCTTACTTTTTATTTTACACTTCGCTTGTTTTTATATCTGCACTCATGTTGCAAAGCAACCGATGGAAAACTTACCTCTAAAATCAATTCACGTATTTCAATTGATTTTTAATATTGTTATTTAAATTTCGTTTTATTTAGTAGATAACAAATACAGAAAGAACAAGCTTTTATAAATACAGAAATAAAAAAAAAATGAAAATAAAGCTAGGCGATTTAGTATAATACAACCTGTCTAACTAATTTAACGAAAAGATGTAATGTGTCCATCGAAAAGGTCTCCTCTGAGCAAGATCAGTTGTAATACACGCGAATATAAAATTTGTGCCTACAGTGTTGAAATTTTTATACCAATAAATTTGAAGAGATAAGTATTGTCTATAAATTAAATTAGCAAGATGAGAAAAAAAATTCACTTCTTATTTGTTCCGGATACTGAGAGCGTTGGAAACCTTTTGCAAAGGTTCCTTGAAGAGGTTCATTTCTTCGGGAAATGAAGTCTGAAGTTTTATTTCCACCTGTTCTAGAGTTTAATGTTTATACCACGGAATTCATCGTTACATCAACCTTTATCAATATTAACAGTTCTTTGTCATAGAATGACATTAACACCCAATCGTGACGGATTTCATTATGCCGATTAAATGTGTTATTAATTAGACTATCTAGGTTACTTTGCACACTCAATCAATTTTTCGTCATGAGACTTTCATTCTCTTCATTCTCTGTAATAAGGGTTTATGAGAATAGAGTTTTAAGACTCAATCGGACTTTGTAATATAGCTAAAGACGAGTAAGTAGATTATTTATTTGTGATAAAATAAATCATGACTAGTAGTAATATATCACAGGCATATGATATCAGTTACGCAGAAATGTGGCGTGATGTTTAGAATGAAATTATATTAATCATTTCATTTTCTATTACTCTAATAGAAATTTTACATGAAAATTTTTTCAGAAAACATAGGATATATAAAATCATAGACCTACTGGTACATTTTATACCATCCTTATATCCTTTCTATTTAAGACAATATTTTTTTCATCATGAACATAATTGTATTGAGACTCAATTCATTTAATTACAGAATAATTAATTATGCTGCATATATAGCATTGGAAATATTGATTGATTACTCATTCTATCTTGTAGAGTTTAAAGCATTATTATGTGTGGCTTTTTTTTATATTATCAGGTGATATTATAGATCTTTGCCGATTTTTGATCTGTCACGAGATAAGCAAGATGATCTAGTAACTTTCAGTGATATCATAAAGTGCATCATTTTTACTAACAATGGTGATTATTTATAAAATATATGATTTTGGTTTAGAATGAAAAGAATGCAAACAAAGTAAATGAATATAATTGGTGCTCAATAAATTTGCTCCCGCAGATAAACTTTTTTTTCTCCAATATATATTTCCGAATCAGAAATAACAATAATTATTCACAAACACCAATTAAAATCAATTATAATCCAAAATAATAAAATAAAATCATTTCTTTGCATTTATCAACGCCACTCTCTTGTTGACAGACAGTAGAGAGACTGTCTCTTATACACATCTAGATGTGTATAAGAGACAGCTCTTGTTGACAGACAGTAGAGAGACGATGCACTTTCTTTTTTCTTTTATCTAAACCCCATTTTTTCTTTCGATTACATTCAACAAAAAAAAAAAAAAAAAAAAAAATTAATATATATATAAAAACAAATAAAATATTTAGAAATTTAATATACATATATACACACATATATAGGTACATTATTATGGGTACAATTCAATCAAAACTTAACAATCGAAGTATTAATAATAAAACTTTAACGAATAATAATTATAGAGAATTATTTCTTGAAAACAATAATTTAGCCACAGTTGATGAAGTAATACATTTAGGTCATTGTGTACTTAGAGAAGGATGGAATGGTAATTTCTCTTCTCCAATTAAACCACGTTTAATTAGTGGTGCTAAAGTGTTAGATGTGGGTTGTGGTTCAGGAGCTTGGATTTGTGAAATGTCATCAGATTATCCATCTTCCCGCTATATAGGAATAGATTTACTTCCTTTATTTCCTACAACGAAACCATTTAATGTTCAATTTATACATCACGATTTTCTTAATGGTCTTCCATTTCCAGATTCGACTTTTGATTTTGTACACATTCGTTTTATGATATTTGATCTAACTGAAACACAATGGGAACAATTTATGTATTCTGAATTAATGAGAGTGTGTAAGATCGGTGGTTGGATTGAAATATCTGATCCCGAATTAAAATTAATTAATGAAGGACCTGTTACCGAACGTATAAATTACTCATGTAAGTGTGTGATTGAATGATTTTTATAATTAAATATCTATACTAACTTTTCTTGACTAAATAGTTAGAAAGAAATTACAATCACGTGGCATAAATCCAGATGTAACATTGTTACACGCCCAACATTTCTCTTCAACTCCAAACATTTCTTCTCCGATTTACCATGAACACCGAGAATTTACCATTAGTTCAAGATTATCCCATGATAAATTAGCTCAATCACTTACAACTTATACGTTGGAATCTTATAGATGTATATTAAATTCTATAGGTCATGAATTAAAATTAAATATAAATAATAGTAATGTAAGAAGAAATAGTTTAATGAATAGTATTAAGAAAAACAATAATTCTGGACATATTAGAAGATCTAGTTTAACTACTTCTAGCAAGCAAGGTGGGAAAGATGCTGAAATTGATAAATTATTGAAAACAATTGAAACTGAATTTGAAAATTATGGCACTCGTGCTACAATTCACAGATTCTATGCAACAAAAACCGAGTAAAAAAAAAAAATTTAGTGATAACTTATTTCTCTAAGATACTATTTAAGGCTGATATATATATAGCATTCAACTTCTACAAATTCCTATGTATCGTAATCAAACAAATTTCCTTCTTTTTTTAAAGGACAATTAAAGTTTAAATTTATGAATTTTAATAAAAGGCTTTATAATTTTTTTTTTAAAAAAAAAAAATACGTGACTGACACGAAAAAAAAATTTCTGCGCCACACTTCTTGTTACAGCCAATCATTTGAGATACTTTGGTAGCAAATCCTTTCTGCTTCGATATTTTATAATTATTTTTTTTTTTGATGTTGGACTTAATTACACAATACATTAATAATCCGGACCATCATGATGTTTTGGCAATTGTCAAAGGTTTTCGTAATGGTGCTGTTTATGGTGCCAAAGTTAGATTTCCTCATGCTCTAGTTATGTCATTTTTATTTCGTTCCGGAAGGTAATTTTTATTTAATTAAAAAGAAAAGTATCTTTCTTTTAAATGAAAATATTTTATTAACTTTTTTTTTTCTTTCCTTAATTATAAATTGATAAGTCTTGAGGATAAACTAAAATTTGTTTTTGATGCTACAAAAACACACTCAAAGAATTTAGCAAAATTTGTTACAATATATAAAACTTTGATGTATGTACAGAGAAAAATTGTTGGTAAAGAACAGAATGGCCATTCATTTATAGCCGGTTTAATTGGTGGTTATTTTGTTTTTGGTGAAAACAATAACATCAATCAGCAGGTAGTTTGTTTTTCTTCAAATAAGTTGTAAATAAAAAAAACATTCACCCTTTCTTTTAAACATTTTAATTTAGATTGTGCTTTATGTTTTTGCACGTATTATGGTGGGATTAGCTAAACTCCCAGTTTCTCGTAAAACAATGGAAGAACCTAAACACACTTTCCCGATATTTGCAGCTGTGGTTTGGGGTATTGTTATGTGGCTTTTCCGTCACGACCGAGATGTTTTACAACCTTCTCTGCAAGCTTCTATGCAATATTTGTATCTAGATTCTGATCATTGGGCTTCTCTCAAAAATTTCTTGTGGCATAATAAATAATAGAGATAATTAATAAAACAATTTATTTATTCATTTATTTTATTTATTTATTTATTTCTTTCTTTTGACTTAAACTAAACAAAAAAAGAAAGAAGAGTTTTTTTTTACAATTAGAAACACCAAAAAGGTAAAAAATTAATTTTCTTACTCTAGAAAATAATATAAAACTAAACTTAATTCATTTATTTCTTAAAGGATCATCTTGATCGCTCCGGGATTTTTCTCCTGAATTTTGAGTACCAAAGTTATTTTTATGTGTATCAAGAGTGAAAATCAAATTTTGAGGATTATTATTCAATAATTCAACGACTCTTGAACCAGGAGAATTCAGTAATCCAATTAGTTCACTTTGAAGATGTTTTAATCCTGGTAATTTCGTTACATTTTGAAACCCTTCCAAGTTCAATAAAGATCTATCCATTTTTCCACCAACCAAAATAAACTTCTTGTTCTTATTAATAATGTTAAAAATATCAGCAACTAATTTTGGATTTTCTTCATCGGTAACATTTGATCCAATCATACAAGTTGGTCCGACAACCAGAGGCAACAAATTACTATATAATATTGATTGACGTACAACTGCTCCAAATATACTTCCACGTGTTACTGTAAGAACTGCTCCTTTTTGTTTTAATTCTCTTCGGAGTATAATTTGTTCTTGTATGTTAAGATTATTATGTTGAACTATAAAAACCAATCTATTAAAATGAAGTTGCGCATAATATAAATTATAATGATAAACTGCAAGTGACTTAAAATTATTTCCGTGTTTTGTTTTCTTTTTTTGCGGAGCTTTTGGTGGTGGAATATTTTTTAATGTCAGTATCTCCGAAGTTGAGTTGAAAGAATTTATATAAGTTGATTGATTATTTGCTGACGTTTTCGAAGAAGCTGTTGCATTAAATTTCGAGTGGAGTTAATTTTTTTAATACTTAAAAGAATTAATTACGTAACATATAATTCAAATTGGATACAATACATGAGCGGACAACAGGAAGCGGTGTACCGTTGAATGTCTTTTGACGAAAGATACACTTAAAACCTAATAAAAAATAAATAATAAAGTTTACAAAAGAATAAATTAAAGTCAATCGAAAGTTGCGGAAAATTTCAAGACCTCTAGTTGAAGCAATGTGTTTCATTATCATTATTTAGAAAGTCTAAATTTTTTTTTTAGATTTGTTTTAACCAATATAATGGTAATCTATTGTAGTTTCTATATTTAGCAATTCCAGAAACATTCAATGTTGATCAGTTGTCTTTTTTAAAAGTCTCGTAAATTATGATATCTTTGTTGGACATATTTCTCTGGTTTATACCTAACATCATGCCATCTCAACTTTTTCTTTGGCAGGCTGGAGCATTTTTAGGTAAATATATTAATTTGTTTAAAAGGAATTATAAATCAATTTATTATTAATTTTTTCATAAAAAGGTTTTTCAGGAATTGCATTAGGTGCTTACGGTAAGTCGGTTATAAACGATATTGAATGATGATATTTTTACTGATCCGTTATTAAATTAGGTTCTCATGGTCTTCAAAAACATATAACTGATCAAACAAGAATAAAGGTATTTATTGAATTATCTATATATACAAATAACATTTTATAGACGGATAACATTATTAATTTATTATTATTTCCGTCAAGAATTGGCAAATAGCAACAAATTATCAAATTATGAATTCCGTAGCATTATTAGTTTTATCAAGTGTAAATAATCCAAAAACAGGAAAACCAGCTATATTAGCAGGTTGCTTGATTTTAGCTGGAACCACTATGTTTAGTGGAACTATATATTTATTAGTTTTGAATAAACTTAGATTTAAATTTTTAGGTCCTGTTACTCCTATTGGAGCTTTAATTATGCTTGCTGGTTGGGGTTCTCTTTTATTATAATTCTAGTTACAGTATTTAATTATTATATTACAACTATATAAATGGTTTTATTAAAGTAATAATTTACTCATGAAAGGTGAGAATAAATTTTTACAAATGATTTATCTATTTTTTTAATAATTAGTACGATAATCAAATAATAGTAATAAAATAAAAATAAACTTTTTCGGAAAGAAAAAATCATGATTCATAATTAACGTCTTGTAAAGCGCTTTTTAAGGTATTTTTGTGATTTTCCGTTAACTTAATAGGAAACTTAACATCGTATTTCACCAAAAGATCACCTTTTCTCTGTGGGTCTTTCGTAGGCATTCCTTCATTAGAAAATCTTTGCTCTTGACCCGGCTTTATTACTGAAGTATCCGAGATAGCCAATCTTCTACCATCCAATGTTTGAATAGTCTTTTTAAATCCTGCAAGTGCTTCAAGTAAAGTTAGAGTTAAAGTAATACGTAGATCGTCTCCATCACGTTTAAATATAGGATGTGGTTTTTCTTCTAAAACTACAACGATATCTTGCGTTTCCCCATTTGGTAATTCATCTCCAGATTTTGGAAATCTAAATTTAGACCCAGCTTTCATTCCCGGTCTAACATTAAATTCCAAAATTTTGTCAGTAGGAACTACTTTGTTAGTAGCACTATCAATAAGTTTTCGCGTGACTTTAAGTTTTTTTGTAGTTCCTTTGTAGATCTCCTCAAGAGTTAATGGCAAAGTGTGTTTAACCTCTAATGCACCACCACTTTCTTGCCCACGTGATCTAGAAAAGAAATCACTCATAAATTCATCAGAAGATGTTTTACCGCCTCTACTTCTTCTAGAGAAACCACCAGGAAATGCATTCATAAAATCGTCATCGCCTCCGAAATCTGAAAAGAATTGTTTAAAGATATCATTCGGATCTGATGGATTAAATCCCGCTGAATATAAAAGAGAATATATATTAATAAAAATATTTTAAATATTTATAATCAATACTCAATACTTTTAATACTTACGTTTACTACTAAAGGTAAAGGTCGTGCGGCCAGGGAAATTGGCAAAGCCACCTGGAAATCCTTCCGCAAAACTAGCACCACCAGCACTACTTTCAGATGGGGGTGGACCTGCTTTCAAACCCTCTTCACCATACATGTCATAAATCTGTCTTTTATTTTTATCACTCAGTACTTCAAAAGCTTCACTAATTTCTTTAAATTTTTGTTCCGCTGCATCTTTATCAGTTTGATGTCTGTCCGGATGCCATTTCAATGCTAAAATTATTAATTTTTTTTTTTAAAAAAAAACCGAAAAATTAACAAAGGAACGCAAATTTATTAAACCTACCTAGTTTCCGATAGGCTTTCTTAAGCTGTTCATCGTCTGCATTTTTATCAACTTCAAGAATTTTATAATAGTCTTTACCCATATTTTTTTTTTTTTGGTTTTTTTTTATTGTCTCGCAAACTTGAACCTGTCAGTTTGATTTCCTTTTTATAATAAACTAGAAGTACATGCTAGTGCATTGTAGTTAATTCTAGAATATTCTAAACAAATTTTTATTTCACGATGATGTATTTTAGGGTACACCATTACCAATTTTGCTGCGGTAAAACCAGTTGTAAAGTATACAGTATAATCACAATATTTAAAATTTTCGCACGCATATGCATTTATTACAACAAAATAAATTAACTTTGGAAAAAGATAAATTAAAGTTAGTTGTTATAATAATAAACAGAACTGATTCCGGCCTGTACACGTGATTAAAAATTTGTATCCAATTGGGCAAGTATATATACCTTCAAGACTTCTTTCTTTATCACTTTACGGAATTATCTTCAAATGAAAACGTATCTTTTACGGTTCATGTTTGTGAAAAATAATATTAATGGAGCCTCAAAATTGGAGACCTCAAGTTTCTTATTTGAAATAAATGTTACACTTCAATGATTCTGACATTGCTCTCGCTGAAGAACAAATTAAAAATGTAGACAAAGAGTTGATGCCTATCGAACTTTTTTTCAAAATATTTTTCAGATAAGGATGTAGCCAATAAAAGTCTCGTCATCGTACGAGTGCCTGACGCTGCTAGTAAAAGTTTACATCATGAATCCACATTACATTTTTCTATCATTATTTTTTTTGAACAATTAGGGTGATTAGAACTTTTGAAAATTAGTAAGTGTGCACACAATCGTTACTGCCCTGCATTCCTTAAATAGTATACATGTTACTTCATTTTCATCAGTTAAAGAAATTATTGATAATATTAAAAAGAATGGCCAAAAGTTTAATTTGAATTACCTAATACAATATATATGCCATTACAACTGTGCAACTTTGAAGCAGTATTAGAAAAGATTAAGCAAACCACAAGAGTTAATGTTAACAAGATGGAAAGCAATTCATGGTGTCTTATTAGTGTAGGAGCTCCTGGGTAGATATAGCTTTTTGGCAACTTTTTTAACTGATTTATATAAATCACGTTTGTATAGTGCAGGAAATCTATACTCAACAATATAATTGTGATACTTATAAATCTTTCTACACTTTAAAGAGATATTTTACAAGATGAGAACTACTAAATTACCAATCAGATTTTTATAAAAGTTATAAGCATTTTAACATATAGTGATTTTATATGATCAGCTTAAATTTAAAGCAAAATAATCATGTGGTTGCAATTTCATTTAGCCAATTCAGACCATATATTGCAGGTTATATATTTTCTCTATTGATTTTCAGTTATTATTTAGAGAATTGAATTTTACCCAGAAATTATATGTAAATAGTAATTTTCTGATTATTATAAAACAAGCTTTTGAAATATATGCCATTGTAATAAAATTTATGTTATAGATAAATGTAATAGTAATATAAAATTAATCATCTGAAATTTGTATTATACTTAGGATACTATACCTTGCAATATATAGTAATTATTAAATACCATTTTAAGATTCAAAATATTGAAATTTATCTTAATATTTGAATTCAATTTATCATTAATTAGACAGATGGCAAAACTGTTGCAATTTTAAATTTACTTTTTTGTCAATTTTTTTTTTTATAAATACTTATATTTAATCATTGTACTTTTCATGTAAAATTAGAAGTTTTCATTACCATTTTTTACTTAAGTGATTAAATGAATTAAAATTTTGAAATATTATTAAATTTATTAAATTATAAATTTTTTAATAGGTAAAATTTGGTTTAACAAGAAGCTTTTTAAATTTATTAAATAAAATTAAAAATTATTCTAATATAAAGTTGCATAAATTGGACTAAATCAAAATTTGAGCCAATTTAACTAGTACTTAATTTAATTAGAATTGCTAAACTTAATTTATTTAATTTAACTAATTTAATAGTTTATATAATTATTTTAACACAAATAATTATCAGCTAATTATTTAAATTTTATACTTAAAATATTTTTTTATTTTTATTTTTTTTTACATTATATGTTAAAGTAAAATTAATAAAAAAAATACATGAAAGTAATTATTTAATATAAATTTTAATATAATATTATTAAAATACAATCTACTCATTATACCTCACATATATACAATATTGTATATAGAATATTATCTGGCAATTTTTTGTGGATACGAATATCTAAACGAATTCATGTTCATATATGTTTATAGTCTATAGATTTTGCAAATATAGATAAGTTAATAACCAACCTTAAAAATCTTTTGGCTGAAATTAACAAGAAAAATGGCTGGCATTAATGCAAACAAAATATTCCAAGTATGAAATTATAGCTGACATGAACTGTACTATCCAGTTTAAAATTGTCCAATGTTCATGTATGTATTTTATAACAATACTACATATGCATTATTAAGTAGTCAATTTAACTCAATAAGTAAAATGGTAAATATCATTTGAAACATATTATTCTTAGCTATATAACAGGACCCCAGACATTATATATATAACTCACAACTGATCTGCATGAAATTAGACACTTTTTGCTCCTTTCAAAATTAGCCTAATCTGCTCAAAATTGAATTATCACATCTAAATTTATATAAAATTTGCTAAAATTTGAAATATGACTTGATTATCAATATATTTTTATTGTTTATCTAATTCGAAACTTTATAGATATATAATTTATATACTATCAAGTTTTATAAGTTCATTAAAAGTTTTTTTTGCATTTCCTTTAAGAATTAATGCTTCTTCATTGATACTAATAGGACCCCGCTTACTTCTAATAAAGGTCTCCGGGCAAAATTTCAGATTTACTAGTAATTTTACCAACCTTTCTTATCTCATAATTTTACCATATATATATAGTGACCTTTTAAAATTATATTAAATTTTACCTTAGATTTTCAGAGACCTAAATTTTTTTAAATATTAAATAAACAAAATATTTTATAATCATTACAATAAATTTTAAAAATTTTTTATTTTTACTAAGTTTAATTCTTATTCTTTAAAGATAAATAACTTTTATTAGTAAAAAAAGTACTTTGAATTACAAAAATACTATAAAAAAAATCTTAAAGACACACATCTTTAACTTTACTTCGAAACTATTATTCACTTACTTTCTTTAAAAAAATCTAATTAATTTTTTTTTAAAAAAAATAAATTCGTAATTGGTATTATTATGAAAAAATGCTCGTACCCCATAAGTATTAATCCAGCTGCTATGAAAATATTTATCTAAATATTTTCGACCTTGCCGAACAACTTTACTTAAGCATGAAAAAGTGATTTCATTTGACCAAAGTGCCCAAATTACGCCCTATAATCACTGATCGGGAAAATAAAAAAAAATTAAAAGTGCGAAAATTGCTCGTATTCCGTAAATATTAAACTGATTCTTATGAAAATTAATATTCAGGTAGTTTCGATCTCGCCGAACAATATTACTTAAGCTTAAAAAGGTGATTTCATTTGACTAAAATGCCCAAATTACGCTCCGAATTTAATAAACAAAAAACGTAAATTTTAAGTTAATATTAAAATAAAAAAATGCTCGTATGCAATAAATATTACTCCAACTGCTATAAAAATTCAAATATAAGTAGTTCGACCTTACTAAACAACTTTCTTAGATAGTAAAATATGATTTGATTTAACCAAAGTACTGAAATTAAATTCTGAAGTTGCTAATTGCTGTACGAATTTTTATATTTTAAAAGCTAATTTTTGTAATAATTTTCAAAAAGATAGTGCTAATGCAAATAAAATTAAAAATATAAAATGGTTTTTACAAGTATAAAGAAGAGAATAAATTTTTTATTTTGAGAAAAAATTATAAAACGTATATTACCAAATATTGTAATAATTGTTGTACAATATTTCAAATTAGTATATATAAGGTAAATATTAAATTTTATATACAATTTTACCTTATTATTTACCGAAACATTTGTAAACTTATATTTGATTTTACCTTATAAAACCGGAAACCTATTTTAACTTTACCTTACATATCCGGAGACCTTTTATTTGTCATATATATAATTTTACCTTTATCTATTAAGAGACCTAAAATTTTTTTTTAATATAAATTTTACCTTATATTTTCGGAGACCTCTATTAGAAGTAAGCGGGGTCCTATACTAATATCTTTAGAAGCCAAATGATAAGTAATATGTAAAGGTTCAACATGAGAAAAAATACAAAAAGAATAATCATGGATTTCTGAAAAAATTGCACCATTAATATGAAAATAAATTTTCATAGATACAGTATATAAGAAAGAGATTTGAGATTTGAAATGAGTGTATTGATATAAGAATGTATTGAAACTTTTTTTTCGTACATAGCAATAATTTGAGCAATACAAAGTGTATTATCAAATTTAACTATTACATAAGAACCAACTTGTAATGGAAAAAAAGTAGTTACATTAGCACATGAAAGATTTTCTAAAAATATAAAAATAAAGTTAGAAAAATTAAAAAATTAAAATAAGAACATTATTACATTAAGTTTACCTGGTAAATTTTGCTTTTTATGCATGTTACAATTAGTCATTCCATCTGATTTCCATCGATTTTTTCGTGATTTAATAGAAATAGAATCATTTTTAGTCAAATACAGAAATCAAACCACTTGTTTTATTTATTAATGTCAAATTCACCATCAGTTTCGTTGTTATAATTTTTTAATAAGATATTTTTGCATTCAAGTTTTCTATTTAAATAAGCATCATGATGTTGACGCAAATTTAAAAAGTGTTCAATATTTAATAATCTATTGTTTAAAGGATAATCAAAGTCCTTAGAATCTATAATTATATAAATAATAAAAAAAATGAAATTAGATTTGTAAAGAAATATTAAAATATAATAACTAAATTACTTACAATTTGGATACCATAAAATATCAGGTAATTTTTGGATATGTTCCACAATTACTTGACAGGTTCCATAATTTTTTTTTAGC